TCCTGGCAAGACAATACGGTTTCCAAGATCTCAAATAAGCTTATTTTGAAAAACAGGTTTTGCTTTAATTTATAGAATCTGTACTCAGTTTTCTCATAATCATTTTGTTAATGTATTGAATTCAAAATGTCAATCAGCACAGCTCTGTCTTCTGCATATTTGGTAGTTCAAACAGAGAAGGAGATGAAAGTATCAATTACCATCCTGACTGCTCCTCCTTTCCCTCGATTTTTTACCAAAGAAAGCACTCGCACTTTGTCGCTTCCATATTTCTTGCAGTACTGCATTGCAACCTGATAGACACACAAAAAACCAGCATAAAACAAACCGAGGAATCAAGGTAGAAGTTTACATTTGCTCACCCTTTAAAAGAAAATAAATTAACAGCACAGAGCTATAACCACTTCAGTCGGCACAAATACATTGCCAGTGTTCGCTGGAGTCTGTTCAGGAAAATAAAAACCAATTCAAAGTCAAAACAAGAAGACTGAAGAAACCAGTCATGTTCAAAAGAACAGGATACTCCAAACCCCATCCTCCCATCTCTAAAAAACTCAATCCTAATTTAACTTATACTATTACAGACCTTTCATATTAACACCAATAGTTAATAAAAGAAATATAATTTTCTACTACAGCCACTTATTTATCACTCGTCTTGCTGCTATTTGTGGTTTCAAACAAAAATTCACATTGATCTAAAATCCCACTCACACTGCAAGGATCTGCAGATTTTATTCCATGCTGTGAGGAAGACAAAGCATGAGTTTTCTCCTCTTAATTTTTTCTAAAGGTTGTCTTGAGTCCTTGTAAGTCCAGAGGCCCGCAGCCATTGTATGCTCAGTTAAAGGAGATGCCAGAAGGAACGCGCAGTAGTAAAAAATATTTACGAGCAATCCTTAACGGACGAGCTTAAGGAAAGTAAATCAAAAAGCAGTACGCATTTTAGTAGCTACCTCAAACATCTTCCAAGCAGTAATAGTAAGAAAAGCCCTCAAGTCAGCAAGCCTTCCTTTCCAGTGACGTACATCAAAGTCAAACCAGAAGAATACAAAACTATTTTGAAAATACTACTACTGGCACAGGGATTTTTAAATAAACAATGCCATGAAGGGTGTGAGGAAGAACTATGTCAGATGTTCTCTCAATCACAGTATGAATTGAGTATTTTAAAAGACTTTTTAGCTTTCTAAAGTTCATATTCACATCATCACTATGCATATATAGAGTATTTCATAAGAAATTTCTTGACGTTAGGATTAGAATTCTGAGAATCGCAGTTGCAGGAAAACGGCTGTCACAGTCATCAATCAAGAAAACCAGAATTTGCAAAAGAATTATGTGTATTCATATGCATATGTGACATCCGTGATGCATACAGAACGACAGAAAGTACTCAGAAATATGAACTTCAATTGTCAACTATTCAAGTACCAAAATATAAATGCGAAAAATTGTTATATTCAACAAATGTAGCAAAAAAAACGACACCCCCGATGCTTGGGAAGGCACTTCATTTTTCTTACCTTTGTAGTTTGATCTTTACTACCATCATTAACCACTATCACTTCATAAGTGAATGAAGGATCTCGTTTCTTGAAAATGAAAACAGAAATAATACATTTAATCCAATTTCTTAAGTAGGCAGTAGGTCTTTCAAACATCATTATTCTTTTCTCCCTAGCAGGTTTTAAATTATTTATGGTTGCCAATGGACACTAACATGATATAGTTAATTTGTTCACATGGCATAATTAAAGAATTTTGCCACATTTGATGAACATACCATTACATTGGGTTGTCATGCTACCATCCGGAAATCAAAAATCAATTCAGTTGTAAAAGATGGAACACTCAGAACATCATCACTGTTAAGAAAACCCAAACAGAACAACATCCACAAACTTTCACAATGGGCTTCCTACCCAGAGAACAAACCAAAATGAAGAACGGATACTTATGAAACTTGTTGAAACAAACTAGGATTTAGTTTAGAAAGTTAAATGTATGGCTAATCCTTAGCTTTGTCTTGGAAGGGTAACATTCACATGAAGATTTCTTCATCCCGTAGCAGTATATTAAATGTTTACTTAATTTAAAAATACTTTTTGGCACTTGATCTAAAAATAACTAAGAGACCTAAGCGTTACTTCTAAGTGGCCAAGTGTTACTGTTTAATGTACACCAACATAACAAAGTGACTAGATCACTAACTTATTATACATAATACACACACCAAAAAAATATTGAATGCAAAAAGAAAATACCTGTCTTTTTTCTAGATAATCCAAAGCTTCATCCATCATAAGAGGTACTAGAGAAAAGGCGGAGGAGGTCAGGTTAGTAGATTACAACAGGCAAAGCACCAAAAGCAATTGCACAAGCAAGCTGAGAACAACCACAAAGCAAAGCTGAGCAAATCGACTCTTTCATACAACACTACCTTCAGCAAACAAGCTTAGCAGCTGCAACTCTAAGTGCTGTCCTTTCTGAATGCAAAAAGAACACTGAAGAAAATCACATACATGATAAAAGACAGGATAAAAACATTTCTTCTGAGGAACCAACTTTTCATTTTGAAATTTGTAATTCTCTACACAAGATTAAAAGAAAAAGAAATCATTCTTCATGATCGAGCCTGAAAACCAGCACTGACTTTATCTATTTAAGCAAGCTGACAGCTTCTGTACTACCATGTTTGATTATTTCTATCACATCTGAAAGCCTTTCCTCAGTATCAGGTACTCGTATCTATCGCCAAGTCAAACGCAAACGTGAGAGATCATTCTTTCTCTGCTCATCTGAAGTTGATGTTGTTTAAAGAGTGGGAAGCTCTCAAATCAGTTTTAAAAGTCTTTTTTTACTTCTTGCCTTGCGGCATTTACAGAAGCAATGAACAACCATTCTTCTGGGGTTCACTAAAATAGAGAGGATTCTTATAAGTGCCCCATGCTATTTTTAGCAGCAGAAATCAAGTTACACAATGCCTTAATTTTGAAATTCAATGTACTTGGACTGTTTTCTGGAAACCATGTCCAAAATCTGATCCATAATCTAGCCTGCCAGAATCTACCCCAAACATAACTGACCTCTGCATTATTACAGTAACAACAGACAGATTTTCTTCTTTTCCTCAAAACAAGAAAAATCTTACACCGGTCTTCCTCATTGTATGAAGGCACAACAACAGAGAGTTCCCTTGTAGGGGGATCATGTACACTTGGTAGAGGTTCTTTCCTGCCTTCAGCGTTTACGAAGAATTTCTCTTCTTCGTGTCGGTGAAGGGTTGGCATTTTTTTGGCAGTTACATGAGCAATTGCACAAATCTGTGATGAAAAAGAAATAAGAAAAATTGTTGAGCATTCTCTTAGAAGTTGACCGAGTTGCTGAATGTGCTACAAAGGGCAACCAACTCTTTTTCAATAATGCGGTGGGTCAGTGGTGTGGAACTTCATCCACTGACTGAATCACAGAGGACCAAAATCGTCTCATGCCATCTGGTTATTCCTAGTCTGACCACTGTCAGCATCACTGGCTTGTTGCTATCTTCGACTGCAAAGCATGCAGATGCCTCCAAAGTCGTTGTCCAAGCCCCCACTGCCTGTTCCCAAGTAATCCAGAGCACACATGCTGGTGCTGCCTCTGATCCCACCCTGCCCCACTGAAATCAATGGCATGGCTCCTGACCAGCCAGCCACAGGTGCTTGCAAAACAGAGGCTCTGATGGCCTTATGAATGGCTAAAATGAAGACACAGAACTTGCGGTTTGGAGCACTTAATTTGGTGACACCACGAAGAGAATCACAGAATCAATTAGGTTGGAAAAGACCTCTGAGATCATCGAGTCCAACATCGAGACCGAACACCTAATTAGACCACGGCACTGAGTGCCACGTCCAGTCTTTCCTTAAACACCTCCAGGGACGGTGGCTCCACCATCTCCCCGGGCGGGAGGCATACGTGGCACTGCGGACAGGCAGCAGAATTCCGCCTTCTAGGGTGTCCGACTTCTGCAACTTGCCGGGTATTTCAGCCAGGCAGAGACACAGCGACCTCCCAAACGGTTACCGCGAACGGGCCTTACCAGGACACTTCCCAAGGCGTCTTTACCCCCTCCGCAGGTCCCCGGACGCCTTGCTCGCCCCAACCCCCGCACCAGCGCAGCCCCGCCGGCTGCTGCCCGGACGGCTCCCGGTGCCACCCGCGCTGCCCCCAGCCTGGGCCAGCCCTGCCTGGGCCCGCCGCAGCCCCCCCGGAACCCCCCGGCAAGGACAGGATCCGCGGACAGCGCCCCGGCTCTGCACCGCGGGGGCCGCCCCGCGCACCGCCCCCGCCACGGAGGCCCCCGGGCCCGCCGTGACCGCGCTGCGCGGCTCTCACCAGGACGAGGAGGAGGGCGGCGAGGGCCGCCAGCGCCGCCGCGGCCGCGGGCAGGGACAGGGACAGGGACAGGGACAGGGGCAGGGGCGGCTGCAACGGCAGCGCCATCGCCCGCGGCGGCGCGCGGGACCCGGTCGCGCGGCGGTAGCGAGGCGGAAGCGGCCGCCTCGCCGGGAGCCGCTGGCGCCCCCTCACGGCCGGGCCCCGACAGCGCCGCCGCCCCGACCCCCGCCGCCAGCGCCGGTCCGCCCGCAGAGCCCGCCGGGCGGGCCCGCCGCCAGGGGGCGCCACATCCGGGGCGGCGGCGGTGCCGCCATGGCGGCCGCCTTCAAGTAAGTGCTGGGCCTGGCGGCTGCGGTCCCGCTTCTCCCGCTCCGGGCGTTCCGCTCGATCGCAGCAGCGCCGCCCGGGCCCCGCGGGGCCGCCCGGGCTCCCCGCGCCACCGCGCGCGCGGGGGGAGCGGGCTCGGCGCGGCCCCCGGGATGGGGTCGGTGCTGAGGAGGCTGCGGAGCCCCGACGTGTGCGGGGGGGTACTGAGCGAGCACGGGTTGTCCACCCGGGAAAAGGCTCGGCAAAGCGCGGAGCTCGGTGTGGCCTGAAGGTACCTGGTGTTACAGAATCGCAGAATATCGCGAGTTGGATCCACAGGGATCACAGAGTCCAAGTCCTGGCCCTGCGCAGGACACCCAAGAGTCACACCACGTGCCTGAAAGCGTTGTCCAAACCTTCTTGGACTCTGTCAGGCTTGGTGCTGTGACAATTTCCGTGGGGAGCCTTTTCCAGCACCCAGCCGCCAAAGGGTGAAGAACCTTTTCCTGATATCCACCTTAAACCTCCCCTGACACAGCTGATAGCATTACAAGGAGGTTAAAAAAGGGAATTCACTGGCTTCTCATTTGTAACTTCTCGTTTTAGAATAGTAAAATGAACTGGGTCAGAGGGGGTCTTCACAGGTTGTCTCATTCCAACCCCACTGCCGTGGGCAGGGGCACCTTCCACTAGACCAGGTTGCTCAGAGCCCCATCCAACCTTGCCTTGAACACTTCCCGGGGTGAAACATCCACAGCTTCTCTGGGCAACCTCTTCTAGTATTCTTGCTTCTATGTTTATGTCTTAAGTGCATGAAGCAGTGTTTAGCAAAGTGCTTTTACATGAATTGGAAAAGAATAGGCCTTGCGTCGGGCTTCAGAAAACCAGTACAGGACCAACATATGTGGAGCCAGCAGCAGCTAAATCATGCTTGCCATTATGTTTGATATCTCTGTATGTTAGTTTGCATTTGGAAAACCTGCTATTCCCATTTATCTTTGTTTTTTCCTCCAGAAGCACTATTTTAACAAAACTGTGAATGCTTTGTTTACGTATTAACAAGTTTTATAAAAAAAAGGTGGGTTTTTTTTTTTAAGTTAATGATCCCTACTTGAAATACTAATACACGAACACTGTTAGTAGTATGTAATTAATAATAAGCGTTAATTATTTCTCACCTGAAGCACTGCACGAAGCATATTTTGTAATTTTATATTATCTCAAAGATTCTAAGAAAAACTGTAGCATTTAAAATTGTTTTATACCATTTTGTCCATCTGAATGCGATCCTTGAACTAACAGATATTTCAGACACAGTTATACCATCATGCTTTCTGCATTTTTTGTAAACCATTCTACACCTTTCTGTCAGTAAACACTTCTTTTGATTTATAACTAATATTATTGAGGTGAAAGCTAGTAGTTTTTGTTAGGTACATGTGCAGGCAGGTTCCTTGTAAGGAGGCGGAATTTTGGAACTGAATATAGGAAAACATCTTAGATCAGTTCAGAGTTTCCTCATCTTTCTGTAACCATATTGCTAAGCAGCTTTGCCAGGCATCTTGATTCTCAAATTATTTGTTGTTGTGGGTTAGTGCTTGCTTATCTTTTTTTTGCTATCTCTTGCCTACTCAAGAGCTTGCATGTGAACTTCTCCTTCGATTTGTTTTAGAACTGTGGAACCATTGGAATATTACAGAAGGTTTTTGGTGAGTAAAGCATGAGATGCCTGTATAAATTGCTTATAATGAATTTTTTCTTTCTTGTGGTTCTTCAGATCTAACACGATGCAGTATTGTTTCAATTTCTAACTTAAGGGTCACGTGTTGTACAGCCTCTGCCTGATGGTATTTGAACGTTACGTGGTTTTGGGGGTTGTTTTGCTTTAGTTTACTGTAACATTAATTTTAAGAGCTCCACTAGGTGGGGATGGAGGAGGGGAATTGCCTATGAAACCTGAACAATACAGACAGATGGAAATTCTCATTTTAAGTTACCAATGAGTATTCATTCTTGGATGATATTCCGAATCTAGCCTGTAGTACTTATCTTTGAGACAATCAATCTATTGTTATATTTTCTAAATAAATTATAATAAAATTTAAAAATCAGGGATTTTTTTGCAGGTCTACAACCACAAACTACATATCAGTTGATGAAAAACCAGGTAGAGTTGTGACCAAGTTTTCCCTAGCATTTTTGAGGCTGCGTATTTCTGCTAAAAAGAAGAGAATATTGTTTTATATCAACTCCAATAGCATAAATATTACTGTATTATTTAATAAAACATGTTTTCTAATTTGAGCTTTGTAATTTTTGGTTAGAAAGAGAACTGTCGACCTGATGGAAGGGAGTTAGGTGAATTCTGGGCAACCACTGTCAACATAAGCAAGTGCTTATTTGGAATAATAATAATGGGAGAGGTGTTATTAATATCAGGTTATAACAGTGACCTTAATGACTTCCTAATTGGTTTTCTTGGTCCTTGCTTTGAAACAAGGAAGAGAAAGGATTTTTATTTACTCTTTCAGCAAGCATGAAAGAGAATGCATAGTACAGTAATATACTTTAACATTGTTTTCAGTCCTGATCCTAGGCTGATGTGCACAGTGTAATTATTCGGGTCTGCTCCTGTCCGGGTATATGCAGCACAGTTTAGGTGGCTGTGGAATCTTGTCTCTGTCTAAGGTGAGCAGTATCTGTTACAGATGCTGAAGGCAGCATCAAGGCATATGCTGACCAGCACAAAATTGATGCCCAAGCATCGTGGGAGGGACAGTGAGTCCTGGCTTCTGCTGTGTTCTGAGCTTGGTGGGCAACTGCCTCGAGCAGAGGCAGAATGAGCCAGCAATGTGCCCTTGCTGCAAAGAAGCCAATGTTATCCTGGGCTGCATTAGGCATGGCATTGCCAGCAGGTCAAGGGAGGTGATCCTGCTCTCTGCTCAGCACTGGTGAGGCCACACCTGGAGTATTGTGTCCAATGCCAGGCAGTGTATAGAAATTCCTGAAGGGAGGGTGTGGGAAAGACAAAGCCAGGTTCTATTCATTAATAACCAGTGACAGAACATGAGTCAGTGGGCACAAGCTGAAACACAGAAGGTTCCCTCTGAACATGATGAAACACTTTTTTACTGTGAGAGTGATGGAGCACTGGCACAGGTTGGCCAGAGAAGTTGTGAAGTTTCCTTCCTTGGAGATAATCAAAAGCCATCTGAGTACAGTTCTGGGCAACCAGCTCTAGGGTGGTCCTCCTTGAGTAGGGGCGTTGAGCCAGAAGAGCTTCAGCTGTCCCAGCCTCAGCCATTCTGTGTGATTAACTGTTTAATGTAGAGATTCCATCCCACTCTGGACTTGAGACATTGCTTAGGCTCTGTTTAGTATAAAATGATGGAAAGTTAACACTTTGTGAAGGTAGGTGTTAATTAATGCTCTTTGAATGAAAAATAGATTTTATTGAACGGTACTTTTCCTCTGCAGGTTCAATTGATACATTGACCTCTTCATGTGTCCCTGCATCACACAAAGAGCTGATGTGTCACAGTGCATGGGGTTAGACTTTAAAAAGCAGCATTTTTGAACAGAGTAGCTAAGGACTTTTGTTTTTGTTACTATTGCTATTAAATGGCAATCCGAGGTGTTAAAATTCAGCTTTAAGTTCTAGTTTTTCTTGTTGAGCAAAGTTGGCCTATAGTTTAGATCCTATAGATTTCCCATTGATTTTGCTCTATTTTAACTTAAATGGTTCAAAAATAACAGTATTTAATCTCTCAAAGATATGCATCGTGATGTATAACAGTTTATACTGGATGTCAAACACCCCATAAATCCATTTTTTTAACTATTCCCAGACTGGGTGATATTAGAGTTCTCTGACAAGAAACTGAGAACTACTTTGGTGAACTTACTATTGGAAATGAGTTTTGCATTAAGGTGTCTGGTAGAGATTAGTGCAGCCTACATCCTGTGCCAGTTTTTGTGTAACTACAAAATAAGTGACTGCATCCTTCAAATGGCAGTTTAGTGGCATTTTCCTGCAATACGTGAATGTCACATATCTAGGAAACTTCAGGCATAAAGCTGCATTTTCAATAGACATAAACACTTGATTATGTGGAATCTCCCGTATTTTTTTACTTTTTAATTTTTTTTAAAATTGGTGCACTTTGGTAAGAAAACAGGTAAGCCTGGGCACTAAATCCATCTACAAGTATTTTGTAAGACTACAGTAAAAATTAATGTTATGTGTATTTTGCAATAATGGTAATGGAGCAATACGTACAAACATGTCTGCATGCATTTTCCTTTCACAAGCACATTACTCGTTGTTGATCCAACTGCTGAAGAAGATGATTTAGCAACTGGAACAGTAACCATTGTCTGATGAAGTAGGCAGACTCTGTTCTGTCCATAAGCCAGGTACTTCCAAATTTATTACAAAGAAACGTATGGAGATGATAACGTTTAGGTCAAGAAAAGACTGTGTACCTCCTTTGTTTTGTAAGATTTGGGTGCTTTATAGTAACAGAGCATCTGCTCAAATACTCATTAAATTACTTTCTCTTGAAATTAGTTTTTAAGATGGTGGCATGACTGAAATTCAAAAAGAAGTCACAGCTTGACCTCATACAGCAGAGGACAGATTTTGAGCATGTTTCCTGTTACAGCTCTAGTTTGTTTCCATTATCTTTGCCTGAGGCTGGAGCTGGGAAAGCTGCATGCTCCCCAGGTGAAAGGTGTTAGTCATAAAAATTATTGTATTAATACTCTTATTCGGAAATCACATTTAGAGATACATAACTGAAGTATAAGTAGAAAATCAAATTGTTTCCTTTAATTTTTAGGTGGAATTCCTTTTACAGAAGCCAAGCTTCAGGACTATATCACCAGAGCAATTACAAGACACAAAGAAGTAAAGAAGCTGATTGACAAAGTAATAAAAAGTACAGTGCCCAAGTGAACAAAATGAGAGATCTTTTCAAAAATGGATTTGTAAAAATTGTATTTGTTACAGTGTTCACAAACCTTTTATACTAAATAAACAATTACCAATACTACCTTTACAAAGGAAGTCCGGAGAAGCAATGCATTAATTTCAGGGGCAGGTGGATAAAGCCCCTAGGAATGTATTGTAACAAGCTCTAATATTCAGTAAAGCTTAGAAACATAGACATTTGTGTTATTTCCTCAGTTTAAACCATCCCTATCAGCTGTTCATGAAAGCAAATACCTTTACTTGAATGTCAAGGAACAGAAGGCACATGAGCCACATCCACTTCAAGGTAGCATCAGTTATTTCACTGATAGTGAATATTTCATATTTCATTATAATAGAATTCAAGGAAGAAAAACATTACACAACAACAAAGTAACAACAAAGAAATATACAACAAAACCACTCAGGCTTTTCACCATTAACGTACAATGTACCTAACACAAAATTTCTTACCTGTTCCTGAAAAAAACACCTACTTTAAGTGCTATTATTTGTTAGAATCCATCACTACAGAATATGTAAATTTTCAAGTGTCTAGGTGTTTTTATGAAAATGTCTAACACTCATGCTTTCTATTTAAGTCTAGTGGATAACTGCATGATTTCAGATACTCAATTCACTGACTGCTTAACATTAGGTAACAATCCAAATCAATATTAGCATCAGTCAACAGAATACTACGTGGAAGCAGGATTTATATGCACCCAACTGTCTACCATCAGTTGTGACTGAAATCCCACCATTAGCTTTATATAGCAATTCCTATGATGCACTGGCCAGTGACTAAGTGTTTAGAAGCATTCACAGGCTATGAAGGAACACATCCCTGGAAAAAGGAATGTCAGAGCTCAGAAGTGACATACAAAATAATTTTTTTAAAGAAAATGTGAAACGCTTTTCAATGTGAAATGTGATGGTATTCTCCTCATCAGCCAGGATACTGATGAGGAGCAAAAGAATCTGAAAATACATTATCCGAATCATAACTTACCATTGTAGTTGAAACCACGAGACCAAATGGCAAAAGAAGTACTCAGGAGTTTGGTGCAGCAGGCAAAGAATCATATTTTATGGTCACACTTGGGATACTGAAAAAAAAATCAAGAAGAAAAAGTATCACTAAGAAACTAAATGGGTATTTTATTTAAATGCAACATTTTTGGCAGCCAGTTGTACTTAAAACTCATTTGCATAGTATCCTTTCCTCCAAAAGTAGAAACAAGAGTTGCATTCACTGCTAGTGCACAGGTTCTCATTCTAATGACTACTACTACTCTTCATAATCATTTTACATCAGTTATATTAAATAGTAAAGTAATAAGCATATAAGTGATCTTACATAGCCAAGTACTCTTCTCTATTGCAGCAGCCTGCCGAGACATCCCAAATATCACATCCTCAGACGCACAGAAGGCTAAAACATTTAATGACAATCAGTCAGAGCGTTTAGCACACTCCATCAGTTCTTCTGTTTTGCTTTCGAGCAGGTGTTATTCCCAGCCAACACCTCCACTAGCGGTGTCTTCCAGCACTGTTCTGCGATGTTAGTTTAACACTGACTCACAGCAAGCGTCTGCCGGGGCGGAGAGTGACCGGCGGAGCCGCCGAGGGCAGCGGCCGGCCAGGAAGGGCCGGGCCGGCACAAGCCGAGGGCGCAGGACGGGGCCCCGTCCCGCCCCCTCCCACCGCCCCCTCCCCGGCGCGGTCGGGGGAGTCCCATGCCCGGGGGACCCCCGCGCCCCGCCGAGCGCCGATACCTGTCGGCCTGTCCCGCGGAGCCCCCGGCACATGGCCCCACTGCCCGCCCCACCATCCACCCCGCCGCTTCCCAGACGCTCTGGAAGGGGCGGGAGCGGCGCCATGGAGAGCGGGCGGGCAGGGCGGTGGACGGGGAGAGATTGGCGGCGTTGTTTGGTAAGGTGGGAGTCTGGAGGGTTCAGTGGTAAAAAAAGAGCCAGGAGGGTTCTTCAAGGCAAAGATTTAATGCCTTTGTGAACGTCAGGATAGGTCTCCATGTGTCTCAAGGGTGCTGTAAAGATATTTGAAGGTTTTTGGTGTGTGACTCCCGGCCAGCAGCACGTTGGGAAAATTGGTTTCTCTTGAGAGCAGAGAGGACTCAGAGTATCCTGAACTGGAAGGAACCCACTGGGATCATCAAGTCAAGTTCCTGGCCCTGCACAGGACAACCCCAAAAATCACACCATGTGTCTGAGAACGTTGTCCAGACACTTATTGAACTCTGTCAGGCTTGGTGTCTTGACCATTTCCCTGGGAAGCCTGTTCCGGTGCCTGACCACCCTCTAGGTGAAGAACCTTACCATAAAATCCAACCTAAACCTCCTAAGACACAGCTTCATGCCATTTCTTTCGGTCCTGCCGCTAGTCACCTGAGAGAAGTCCCTTCATTTCCCCTTACGAGGAACTTGTAGACTGCAATGAGGTCTCCTCTAAGTCTCCTCCAGGCTGAATAGACCAAGTGACCTCAGCTGCTCCTCATACGGCTTCCTCTCAAGGCCCTTTACCATCTTCTTGTCCCTCCTTTAGATGCTCTCTAAAAGCTTAATGTCTTTCTTAATGCTGTAGCACCCAAGACTGCATGCAGGACTCTAAGTGAGACTGCACCAGTGCAGAGCAGAGCGGGACAATCTCGCTCAACAGGCTGTTAGCTGGGCTTTGTTTCGAAAGTGTTAATTATAATTTTTAATTTCTGTTTAAATCTGTAACTTTCTGTATTTTAATGGGATTAAAGAGTTGAACATGGCAACATACAGGCCATAAATTAAATATCATTTCATCTCAGCTTCATCTGATGCTCAGAACAACATTGTGGAGCACTGGCTGGCCACAAGAGTGGCGATCTGCAGAAAGTTCTTGTGTGTCTAAACTCTGTCATGGTTCACTTGGATTAGACAGGCTACCTCTCTCTGCCCAGCAACATCCTCACTCCCTTTAAGGGACCTACCTGTCTTTATAATCATAGAATCATAGAATCATAGAATCATAGAATCGATTGGGTTGGAAAAGACCTCCGAGATCATCGAGTCCAACCCTTGGTCCAAATCCAGTCCATTTACTAGATCATGGCACTCAGTGCCACGTCCAATCTGCGTTTAAAAATCTCCAGGGATGGTGAATCCACCACCTCTCTGGGCAGCCCATTCCAATGCCTGATATAGTCTTGTGATTATTTAAAATCATATTTGGAATGGAATTACAAACAATGCAATACAGTAGATTGCATTTGAATTGCTGTTGTTTTTTGGATTCTTTGTATGCTCTTTTTCTACTTTTCCAGAAAAGTTGTGCTTACTTACCTGATTTCTTTTAGATTTTATTCTGTTAGTTATTCTGCTAGTTATATTCTTTTAGTTCTATTCTGTTGTACTTGTTCTACACACAAGTGAGAATAGGACTTAGGAGAGCTTTGGAATTCCAAGGTCAGTTTGTGCACCTTCTGACAACATGTGTGTACATTCACTCCCATCTCTTCCTCTCACCCTCTGCTAACATACTGACTCACTCTCAAGGCAATCCTGAACTCATGTCTCACAGAAAGCCATGATTCTACAGGTATCCCAGCGTGGGCAGGTGAGAGACTGTGACTGAGGACGTTGAACAGAACAAACCTGTGTTGCAGGGTGTGTGCATGTTGCACAGGTACATATGGATATACATGTGTGTGATTCTCAGTGACCGTTCACGCAGACTTCTCTGCAAACAGCATGGGAGGCAGGCGTCAAGGAGGCTGTAAGTCTATGCCAAATACTGGTGTGACCAAAGTGTCTTCAAATCACCTGTTGAAGGGATCAGAAGATCCAAGTATTGTGGAGCTTGGGGGTCGACTGAGAGACCCATCTGCATGTGCTGTCTGTTGTGTGTAAAGCAGCCAGAGGTGAGAGGATCCAAGGGCCAGCTGCTGAATGGATTGAATGTCTAAGTATGGGTGTGTGTTCAAGAATGTCTAAATGTCACAGTTTGTAATGAAACACACGACAACCTACAGGGTTTGAGGAGGAATGTATGTCTGAGTTTATTCAAAATGGCTCCCCCATTTCTAGGGGAGAGAGGGAAGGTTCTGGAATTAGGGGCGAAGACTTTCCAAATAAGGCAAGAGAAGGCGGGTACAAGCCATAAAAGGGAGAGCATGGGAGGAGCTTCACCCAAATACGGAGAAAGGGGGAAGGACATGACCAAATATGGGGATTCTGCACTGCGGCAGAATCCAATCAATAGGAAAATAGTAGATAAACTTGAGGGAAAAAGCATTATAAAATTGAATAAAAACATGGGGGTGCAACAGATTTAAACATGCATTAACACTAGCTAGCAGCTCTTTCAGCCAAAACAGTCTCTGTTCAAGTAATATTGTATTGAGTCCATTCACAGCATATTTTCTTCTTCATGAGCCTCGGTTAAGCTGTCTTGCAGTCTTTGTTTCCATTCGAGGAACCCTTTCTTCTTCATCTTGGATACTTCCAACATCTAAACATCTGCAGCAGCAGAACAGATGTGAACCCCAAATACTCATTTCCCAAGTGCCAGCAATGGTGGAAACCAAGCATCCAGGGCCAGCTGCCAGATACAAACACTTAGAATATTTTGAGCAATTGTTTTTGTATTCTGAACCCATTATGCTTACAATAAATAAGAACAAAGCTGTTCCTATCAATTTAACTTTGCTGATTTCAATAGCTTCATACATATGAATGATTTATTGTAGCTTTTATACATCTTGTAACACATTGCTCCCAAGTAAATTCAAGTGCTTAATATTCACCATGACAAATCTGTTAAATGAATTCAATAACAACAAACCGTTGCATTAGGAATCATCTAAGAAGCAACAAAACAAACACTGCTCTCTCTATATAGTCTGAAAATCAGCCTAAGTAAGGTCTGAGTATTTTAATACCAATTAAACAGAGAAATTACATTGTACCATTAATTTTTTAAATGCTCCTTCTATCTAAATTTATCTTATAGAATGAACAACAAATAGCTGAACTTCTACTTCCATTCACTGTAGGGTGGAGACAAGCCGTGCACATCCAAACGTGATGGCCTGCTTTAGTTCACAGCTTTGAAAAGTGACATTAAAAGATGGTGTGAGAGACAGAATAAATGGAGGCAGTTTTATTCATCAAAGTTTTACCTCAGACTACACCGCATTCTA